ATATAATTGAAAGTGTATTAGAATACAATTTTAATTAGTGAAACTTGCATTACAAGGTTATTTGCATAACATAATGAAACTTTGTTTAAAATAAGATAGAGTCAAAATTGGTCTCTGAACATTTCAAAGTTGACTAAAATATAGGCCAAGTAAAAGCTGATTAATGCTGAGGATGAAACTGTTTAGTCTTGGTTGGTTCATACCTTTGTGTTCTCTCTCTCTCTCTGCCTCCCTCCTTCCCTATGATCTTTCTTCTCTTATAATTTGTGTTTTCTTTTATCTTGCTTCCTGATTTCCCCACCAGTTTGGTTTAACTTTTCTGGAGGCAGATGGAGAGTAGAGTTCCGTTTGCTCTTCAGACCTTGGAGTCAGTTCTGTACTTCCACTGTTGCTGTACTACTCCTCCCTCGCATTCTGTTCAGCAATAAGCCCAAAAGTTTATCTCTGTCCCTGTCCTTTGGTCATGATGAATGTGAACTTGGAAGCACTTGCCTGCTCTGCCATGTTGGTTTCTTGATGAGTAGCACAATTTCTAGCAAACAGACATACTCTAAATATTTGCTGATTGAAGGAACAATCTGTATTATTTCTGGATTCTCTAGCCCAGTGATGGCAAACTTTTTAGAGCTTTCAACAATAAGAAACAGCCACTTGTGGCAGGCGTACTATCAGTTCGCCACCACTGCCTCCACTTCCTCTTCTGGTCTTTAGGGACCCTGGGCCATGCAAGGATCTGCATCTGCAGTCTTTTCTGTCTGCGTTTGCCTCTAGGTCAGTGGGAAACCTATGGCATATGTGTTATTTTTTTTTTCTATAATTCAAAAGATGTCAATGTTCGAGTTATTTTTTTCTAAACTAAAACATCAGTATTCTGGTTTAACTGCAGTGTTGACACTTTGTGATAAATAAGTGTGTTTTGGGTTGCAGTTTGCCACTTGGGCTCTCAAAGGTTCACCACCACTGCCATAAGTGATATCACCTGCTTTCATGCCTTTGGATCTCATCTGAACTCTGCTGATTCCCAAACTTATGTCTCCAGCCCACACCTTTCCCCTGAATTTCAAACTTAGATATTTAACTATCTATTAATGACTTCTCCTCTCGGATCTAAAATGCATCTCAAACTTAGCATAACCAAAACGAACTGATTTGCCCCAGATCTGCTCCTTCCATAATTTTCCCCAGATTTGTAAATGACAACCCTATGGATCCAGTTTCTTAGGCCAACCACCTTACAATTATGTTTAGTTCTTTTTCTTTCTTTTTTTTCCACCTCCTTTACACAGTGCAGCAGCAAAACCTTATTGCTCAACTAGGGCCAGGGATTTAGCTCAGTGCCGCTGCCTGCCTGGCAAGCACAAGGTCCTGAGTTTGATCCCCAGTACCAAAAAAACCAAAAAACGAAAACCCTTATTGCTCAACTGTCAAATTACATCAGGAATCTGTCCACTTCTCACCAATCTTCACTGCAATCAGCAAGGGTAAGTCACCACCAACCATTGCCCAGCAGTTTGTAACGGCCTCCTGTTCTGGTCCATTTTCTGTGGTTGTAACACCTGAATCTGAATGATTTATAAAGAATAGAGATGTGCTTAGCTCATGCTTCTGGAAGCTGGAAGATCAGGCATCCGGTGGGAGCCTTACACTGTGTATATGGCAGAAGAGCAAGTGGGCACATTTGGAAGAGAGACAAGCAAGAGGACCTTGCCTGGGTTCAATTTATAGCAACTTATTCTTGTGACAAAGGGATTAATCCCCTTAATGACCTAATGGTCTCTGACAGGCCCCACCTCTCAACAGCACCACAGTGGCATCACATTTCAATAGGTATACAGAGAAGACAAGCCATATTCAACCTTAGGTCCTCCGGTCTGGACCTCTATTCTGCCTTTGCCTCCTGTGTCTATTCTCAATCCTGCTGTCAGACTGAGCCTTTTAAAACCAAAGCCAAATCATGTCATATGTCTGCTCCACACATCTATCAACTTCACTGGAGAGTAAAAGTCCAGATCTTTCCAGTGGACTATAAAGTCCCTTATGGTTTAGCACATGCCATTTCTCTGACTTTCTGAAGCTGTTTGCCTCCCCCACATGATAGCTGCCTGCTCGCTCTTTGAACATACAAACCATTAGACTGTGCCTGGGCCTTTGCATACATCGCTCCCTCCATGCCCACACGGATCTAATCCACTAACTTCTAAAGCTTATGGCTTTGTTTATTCTGATCTCCACATGAATGCTATCTGCACAGGGGAAGGCCACCTCTCTTTAAGTTTGCAACACCTTCCTTTTTGCCTCCTACATTCTGGAATCCCTTTATGCAGTTTTTTCTCCTCAGCACTTATCACTGTCTGACATACCATGCATTTCCTTTTTAACACTTGTGTGCTATTCCTTTACCCAATAAGCTTATTGAGGGCATGGACTATTCTCTGCTATATCTCCAGCACTCTGAACACTGCTTGGGACCTGATACAAGCTAAATAAACATTTATTGAATGGATGAATGAACAAATGAGTGAATGGAAAACTGAAATTCAAATCAGTAAAATAAGCTTTAACCAGGTACCACTAGACAAAAAATTAAGTCAAAGAGAAAGAAAATACTGATCACAATAATTTTAAAAGCACTTTCAATGGGTTTTATTTTTTTTCTGTTCTCCATTACAAGAAGAATGATAGATTTTTACTTCTACTTTTCAGAAATTTTAAAATCTGAAAAATCAATGTGCTTCAAAAGAATAACATTTAAAAAAATTCATTTCTCATACAAGCTCTTGCTATGTTGGCCAGATGGGTCTCAAGCATCTGGGCAAACAATTTACCTCAGCCTCCCAGTAGCTGGAACTATAGGCACATGACACTGTGCCCTGCTCATATTTAACACTGTAAAAGTCTATAAAGAAAGCCTGACAATGCTTTCATTATTTGAAGATCAATCACTTTTGAAATAGACACAGTTATATTTATTTCAAACAAGAATCAAATTTGGTACCAATTCTCTCCCTTTTTATTACTTACCGGTCTCTAAGGACTTTCCTACCACTCTCATTTTATTCTCTCAACATCATAATGAGATGAGAAAATTGAGCCCCAGATTTGCAACTTACCCAGGACAGGCTACAAAGCCAGTCAGTACAAAATTAAGATGTGAATGAGCTTCAGCTCTCAACCTTTTGAAATACTAAGATAAGCTAACAATCAGATTTTTAACTAAGACAGTCTCATTGTGACTTTTACTTGGCTGGTGATTAACAGAGATGCAGTATGAACATAAAATAGGAGCAATTTTAGACCCTTAAAAGCCTAGAAAATACAGAATACAAAATGTGACTTTTGCTGATGTATAAGATTAACTTCTTAGTCTGATTCTTTATATAATCTTTTCATTTTCTTTTTACCTCTCCCTATTCTGCTGACTTCCCTAACCATGACCTAGAACAAAATGTTTCATTTGTCCTTTTCCCACAACCGGAACACTCTGTGCAGGCCTTTATCTCTTACAATACCAAGACAGCAGTTGTCTGCTTACATCTCTCTTACTCAAGGGCAGAAAATGTGTCATTCAATTTAGTAGCCAAAAACTAAGTTTCATGGAACTAGACTCTCAGATAACTACTTTCTTCGTGATAAAGATAGCACACAGACATACTGTTTCAAGATGTGCAAGAAAGACTCTTGGAGGCTCAGATTCCTAAAATCAGTGTATTGTGCTTTGACAGCATGGTAGGTGGCTGCTGACATGGTTCTCAACAACCTCCGTTGGACCTGGTAACTTGCATCTAATAGAACACGGTAAAAAAAAAAAAAAGGAATGTCATTTCATAATTAGGTAAAAAAAAAGAAGGTAATGTCTATCTTACTACTGGCACTCTTCCTACAGTTTCTTAGTTTGCAGACTTTGCTCAAGTAAGGTGTCATACTGGAGAGAACCACATGGCAAGGAACTACCAACGGTTGGTCTCCCAACGACAGCTAGGGACTGAGGTCCTCGGCTGCCTGTGAAGAACCAACTCCTGCTGAAGACTTGGAAGTGAACCCTTCCCAGGAAGGCCTTGAGATAACTACAGGGGGCTGGTTGAAACTTTGTGGTCTGTGAGGAAACTGAGAGAACCCAGCTAGGCCAATAATGCCCTGTTCCCTCATGTGCAGGAACTTTTGAGATTAAAAATGGGTTAAGCCACTAAGTTCGGGGATAATTTATATAGGAGTAGGTAACAGATACATTTACCTTTTAAAACAGTAAGAGACAGAAGAGTTGAAATAAATAGTTTACTTATCAGGACATCCAAGGTATATCTAACTTTTGATAACTATGTCAATATTTCAGTTAAAAAATCTCCCTTTCCCAGTACGGCTTGTTCGGGTTCCCGAAGAGCACCAGCATGCACGAGTGCGGATTGGCACACTTCGTGGGCTTCTCCACTGGGGACTTCCTCGGCAGGGTTTCTCCTTCCTCAGCCAGTTACCTAACACCAGCTGGCATTTCCTCAGTCAGGCTGGTCAGGGACCTCAAATTCTCACTTCGCTTATTATTCGAAGCGGCACTGCGGGTCACGATTGTTTCACAAATGAAACAAATGTAAGCGCTCTCTGCGAGCGCGGCGCTCTGCCGTCCTTCGCTAAGGACTAGATCCAATGAGTTTATCCGATCACCCAACTAAGAAGTAAGTCCGCTCTGAGAGCCTGCAGTTAGGGTGAAGTTAAACGTTAAAACGAAACAAAAAAGGCCTTTCCAAGGGGGAAAGACGAGGGTGCCAGGCGGGCGTGCAGGTGGCAGTGCCCGAGTCGTCGGTTCCCGCACCTGGCCACAGCCCGCCCGTCCAGGGCCGCTAAACGCGCGTCTACTGCTGTCACCAGCCACAGACGGTAAAACCGCCGCCCGCGGAGAAGAGATGCGCCTTTAGGAAATTAAAAAAGAAACAAGGCGCCGAGACAGTGGCGACGCCGAGGTGGGTGAGGAGCCGCCTCGCCCCACACCCAGGTTTCGGGGTCTCAGCATGCGGGTCGCGCTCCGGCCCCACCGACCCGGAGGACCGCGCCTGGTGCGGCACGGGCAGGCTTCGGAGTCCGAAGCCCCGCACCCAGGAGGACCCCGCCAGGCCGCTGCTCCAAGGGCCCCGCGCGCCTCGAGGTCCCGGTAGGACCCCGCCCCCTCAGCCCTCCGCGCAGGACCGTTAGCCGCGGCCCCGCCTCGCCGTGGTCACCCCATTCATCCCAAGGCCGCGCCCACCAATCACCGCTCGTCGACGGCGACGCATGGGCGATGGGCGGGGCCTCCGCGGCGCCCCGCCCCGCCCCAGCCACCGCGGGTTACTCCGGGTCGAAACCCGAGCAACCCCTGTCGCGACCCCCACTGGCTGCAGAGGGACAGCAGCGGTGCGGGAGGAGGCCAGGGTCCAGCGGGGTCGGGGACCCGCCCGGGAGAGGCCTCGGCCGAGGGAGTGTTAGAGCCGCTGTTCCCTGTCTCAGTCCGTTGGTCCTGGTGCAGCAATATCCATCCCGTGAGCCCGCTTGGAACCTGTGCCCGACGCTTCCCAGTTCCTTCTTGCAGACTCTTAAACTGCACGGTGTAAGACGTTACTCTTGCCGTGTTAAGTGGGCTTTTTTTTTTTGCGGTACCAGGGATCGAACTCAGGACCTTGCCCTTTGCGAGGCAGGCGCGGTGCCACTGAGCTAAATCCCGGGCCCCTAGTGGACTTTTTCTTGTTAGATCGTCACCTGCTGCTAAGTATTTTCGCTTCCCAGTGACTCCCGGGACCGTCCTCAGGAATAGGTGTTAGACCAAGTCTGTGAGAGAGGCCATGAGGACCTTTTCCGCAGGCATTTCCGCCCACAGTCAATGCAAGGAGAAGGAAATGCAGTGTTCTTGGCCTTCTTAGATGAGGCCTTGCGTCTGGCCAAGGCAAGCGCTTCTTGGTGCTGGGTTTCACGTACAGTTTCCTGCCAGAACGTGGAAGGGTAGAAGGGAGAATTCCTGGAGGCTTTTAAATACCAGGTCACATATGGGCTGATGCTTTTTGTAACCCCAGCCTGACCTACAGTAAAACCGCCGGGTTGTTGAGTATGGCCAGCCAGGCTGCTGAAGGGCTGCCCAGGGCTTGTGCCAGGACACCGTCTGCGTGGCAGTTAAAGACTGAGTGAGCAGGCCCCAGAATGCTGTTGGGGAAAAAGGAGTAAACTGTGATCAGACTTAGCTTTGTCAGGCCTACCAGGTGGGCTGTCTGTCTGTTGTGCTCCCTGTGTTCCATGCTGTAGGCTCAGAGGTGAGAAAGCTTTCCTGCACACCCACCAGACAAGGCTCCAGACCTCAGGCGGGTCAATGAGTCAAGCATAAGGAAGGCAGTGCACTGAATAAGTAGGTAGCACTAAGCAAGAATTTTGGTGCAGGTAATGAGTTTTAATGGATCAGTGGAGGCCAGAATTCAGGGGCAAAGAGAGGAGGCCCCTTAAGAATCCAAGCTGAGTTGGGATTTTTCCTTATCAAGCAAACCAACTGGTCTTTGAAAACAAATGCCAGCTCAACATCCTGTGAAAGGTTTCCTGTTGCACTTGGTACAGAAGTCTCAAATGCTTACTCTGGCATGAAGGCCTTCATGGCTGGGCTCTGCCTACCTGCTCACCGGGCCCTATCCCAGCACCCTGCAGCCTCTGTTTCTGAGGCCCAGGCCTGTTACCTGCTGTCTCCACACCTCGATCACTTCACAGCCTGACCCCACTCTACCCCTTACGCCATCTCACCTGTCCTTTTAGCTTCAAATTGTTTCCTCTGAGATTTCCTTCGAAATCAGGTGCACTTTTATAACTCTCATCAGATCCTTTTTTCAATGTACTTATCAAAATGTTAAGATAGTTATTCGTGTTATTCTTACCTATTTTTTTATCTGCCTGTCCCGTTATCACATCCTTCTCCTTTAAGGGCTTGTAATGATTTATATCTATGTATTATATTTATCTTTGTGTTGTCGATGTTTACTTCTGATGGCCCCACTTGTTTGTGCCCCAGGAGGACACTGTTTCCCACTATACCCAGTGTTTAGTGTATTGCCTGACATGCAGTACACTCAGTGCTCAGTAAATGTTTGTAGAATTAATGTTCATGGTCAGCTGGTCTACGGTCCATGCTGGGGAGTCATGGGGGCAAGTGGGATGGTGTTTGTGAGAGGTTAGACAGAGGCATTTCTTCCCAGTTACCTAGACCAGCCCTGATCCATACAGAAGCCATTAGCCACATGTGGCTACTGAGCACATGACATGTGGTTATGCTGACCACATAACTGAATTTTAAATCTATTTACTTAGTTTGGTTTTTTGAGACAGTCTTGCTATTTAGCCCTGGCTGGCCTCAAGCTCAGAATCTTCCTGCCTCAGCCTCCTGAGTGTTTGGATTATAGGCATATGCCACCATGCCTGGCCTAATTTCATTTAATTTTAACTGCTTGTTATAAAGAGGGTTTGGAACAAGTTGAATATATGAATCTATGTTTTCAACTATAGGTTTTATGAGATATAAGTATGGATTAAGTATTTCTGGTAAACATTTAGTGTCCAAATTGCACTGTAAATGCACTAGATTTTGAGAACTTACATAGAAAACAAGTACTACATCTCAGTTTTTCTATTGATTGCATGTTGAAATGGTAATATTTTGTACATATTGAGCAAAGTAAAATATATTGTTAGAATTAATTTCACTTATTCTAGGTGTAGATTGGAAGAATTAAAAACAAGGAGATAGAAAGATACTTTTACACTAGTGTTTAATGGCAGTATTATTCACAAAAGTGTGCGGATGATAATGTCCAGGTAAATGGATAAACAAAGTGTGTTGTACACATACATTGGAATGTTACTTGACCATAACAACAATGACATCCTGATAAAGATTGAGTTGTCTCTTATCCAAAAAGTTTGGGACCAGAAATGTTTCAGATTTTGGAGTTTTTGGTTTTGAAATATTTGCATGTGTGTCAAATATCTTGGGAATAGGATCCAAGTCTGAACATGAAATTCATTTATGTTTCGTTCCAATTTTAGTATATGTGCTGCAGAAGCGAGCACTCATTTATGTTTCATACACACCTTATCCATATCACCTAAAGGTAACTGTGGAATATTTTAAATAATTTTGTGCAAGAAACAAAGTTTCATGGTATGGAATTTTCTACTTGTGGTGTCATGTTATTGCTTAAATATCTTTTGACTTAGGAGCATTTCCGATTTCAAATTTTTGGATAGAGATGATCAACCTGCATATGCCGTAACATGGACAAACTAAAAGCATTGTGAGAGAAATAAGCCAGATGCAGAAGGACATTTTATGATTCCACTTATGTGACGTACCCAGAATAGGCAGATGCTTAGGAAATGAAAGAATAGAGGTACAGGAGGGAAGTCATTGTGTAATAGGTACAAGATTTCCATTTGGTTTCTGGAAATGGACATAGTGGTGCATACTATTGTGCATGTACTTAATGAAGTCAGTTGTACACTTAAAATGATTAAAATGGCAAATTTGTTGTGCATATTTACTACAATAAAAATTTAAATTAATTTCACACACACAACTTTAAAAAATGGGCTGGGGATGTAGCTTAGTGTGGACAAGGTCCTGAGTTCAATCCTCATTACCCCCCCAAAATATCACAAATGCATGAGTGGTGTGTGCTCAGTAAACATGCTGTCCAGCACACAGAGACTTGGAAATTTGCCCTGCAGGTAATGGGATCTTCAGATATGTGCATTAATATCAAGCTTCATAAAGCTGTCCAGGCTAGAGGAATAAGGAATATCCCACACCACATCCAGTGAAGTTTAAAAATGAAAAAGTACTGAGGCTGAAGATTTGCCAAACAAACTCTATACTTTGGTTACCTATGTACTTATTGTCACCTTAAAAAATTGGCAGTTAATTGGATGAGAACTAACTGTCGATTGTCAAATAAAGTTATAAATCCACAAAGTAAATTAAAAGTATGACTTTCTCAGTATATTTCTACTGGATAGCTCTGAGTAGAATTAGAAACCCTTTGAGAGGATGAGTAAATTTTTGTGATGAAGGTTTTCACTCACAGCTGTTGTGGCATCAAGAAGGCTGCTCGAGATGAGGTCAAGAGAGTAGCTGCTAATGATGAACTGGTGAGTTTAGGATTTGGGGACAGAGTGGCTCATGTGGAAGCCTGGTGGGAGGGGAAGCCCTATAAGATGGAATTTGAAAAGAGCTTTCCTTGTGGCTTAAATGGAAGCCTGCTAAGAGATACTGTCTCCTCTGGGTAACACAACAACTTGGCCATAAGCCTGGAGTAGTATCTCCTTTATTGTGGGATCAGATGAGCTAATGTGTGTGAAAGGTTCTCTAATCTGACTGAGCTGAGAGGCATGGAGTAGATGTCAGGGAAGTTGAAGCACTAGCAAGAGATTGCTTCAGTGTGTTCAAGTTGAGATTTCCTCCTGCACACTTTCTCTTCCTCAGAGAAACTGTGGCTTTGGGTCTTTTTCTCCCAGTGATGTGTATTCTATCTTTTTTGTAGAACTTTTGGAAGGATTGTCCATTACAACTGCCTGATATTTCAACTACAGAAACCCACTCCTCCAGAATGACACCATCAGCCACTTTAAGAACATTGCTCTTGGAGAATGTCCTCAAGTGTTCAGTATTGTCTAGCTGTTTCTGAAGTTTTTATCCACCCAGAAGCTAGGCAAGTACTAACTCAAATTTAGGCATGGGCAGAGGGTTCAGGGGCAGAAGACATATGAAAAGGCCACTAGACAATGATCCAAGGCAAATTCAGTTGTCCAACCTAGCTTGATTCTGAAGGAAGCCATTGTGAGGTACATGACATAGGAAGGTTACAGGGCTCATCTTGTGGGTTCTCTGGGGTTGGAGTCAACTGTACACCTCAACCTATTTCTCATACATCCTCACAGCCATTCACCCAGTTCACAGTTTAGCAAGTGTTATGAGTGTTGGCATCAGTCTCAGAGTAAAAATGGCCATGCCTGGGGCTGTCACACCTGTTCTAACCTGTTCAGAGCAACTTATGCTTTTCTGGAATTAAAAGTCTGCTTGAGTCTGCTGAAACTTGCTGTGACCTTTGGACTGCAGGAAGAAATCACTAAAGCTGACTGGACAAAAATTATTGTGTCCAGAATGAGTTTACAATGCTATGAAGCAGTGGTGGGGTGTTCTCTGTCTAAATGAAATTAGGAGCATAGTAGAACTGTTGAAAAGCTTACAGCAAGTAAATTTTTATTTCTATGTATCTGCCATCTTTGTCCCTGGTTTTAGATTAGTTAAGTATATCTTACTTCTTTTTAAATATCCCTGTCTCTCAGTCAGACCATTCCAACAGTCAGCAAAAGCCAATCCTATGCCAACCCATCCACAGCATTGTCCCTGGTCTGTGATGAGGGAAGTATATATTTAGCACTGTCTGAATTCCTTTATTCTACTCCTGGCGGGTCAAATAGTACTTTTACCTGTGGCTCCTTCTGTAGTGGCCTGTCATGGCCAGGACTTTGCATTGTGTTTCTAGATATCACAAGTAATTGAGCTGTTGGAGTAAATTTTTCCATTGTGTCAGTTCTGAGAAGAAAGTTATTTCTGTGCTCTGCTATATTTAAGGCATTGCATGCCTGTTTATTCTTGGCAAAATAAGCAATTAGGGTTAGTTATCTGAAAATAATAAGATAATTTAAAAAATAAATAAAAAGATAAATAAGATGAAATAGTAAGAAAATAATAAGCCTGCTCAATTGGTTTGAGTTAATCTGCTTGCATCTTCAGTGCCTGGTTTAATGGGAAATGTGAGCATTACAGTTTTCCAGGTAAATAAATGAAGCACAGGAAAGAAAAGCTCACCTGTTAAATGCTTTAATTGCCCAAGATTGACCACTAAAATTTGGCTCCAAATATGAGACTATTTTAAGTAACTGTTTTATATATTAGTGAGCTTTTTGATTCATTCCTTCTTATCTATAATGCCAAAGAATGCACTTCAGTTGATGATGTTAGGGAATTAAAATACACCAAAACTTTTAATTTAGGAATATTTAGATAAATACTAAAGTTCTTTAATCTTTGGGTTGGTTTTGAGAGCACTACAATTGTATTATATATGAAATTATAAACTGTCATGGTATGAACATGTCTGGGTTTTAAATTTGCTATAACAGTTGATTAATTTTTTATGAGAGTGGTTAATTATGACTCTGTATGTTTTAAACCTTTGCCTATTGACAAATCTAAGCTATTTTCCTAAGACTAAGCATTATTCTCTAACATTAATTAAAAGCCTTTACGGAAAGGGCAAAAACTACTATAGCTACTTTTCTTCTAAAGGGTGCAGAGAATCCGAAGTCTACCTGTTGCTTGATGTGAAGAATACAGATTTTAAAATTTTCTGAACAACAATATAGCACACTATAACACCTAGTCCTCAAAATAAAAGGAAGTCAATAATTCATTTTGTATGTTTTAGATTAACTTTTTTTTTTTGGTATCAGGGATCGAACTCAGGACCTTGCCCTTGCGAGGTAGGCACGGTGCCACTGAGCTAAAACCCTGGCCTTAGATTAACTTTTGAAAAATCTGTCTTGCACCTTTCTTGTCCACTTGCAAGTAGATCTTTTACACAATTGTGCAACTTTGTTTTATGCTTTTTAACTTAATAGTTACTATAATATTTTTCCATGTTGTCCCATATCCATTGCTTTTGCCATTTGTGCTCTGTGAAAAAATTTAGGTCTTCAACGAAATCTACTGAGTGAACTCCCAAACCTCCAAGAACTAAGTTCTTCTGCTCTACCAGGCTAAAGCCTGAGATTTGAGAGGGCGTCTCAGAGACCCCTACTGCTGAATACACAGGTCAGCACTTTCTGCTGTTGTAAGTAACACTGCAATGAATCCGTATATTTTACTTTTTGGATTCTTTCTTTAGTATTTGCTAGATCATAGTTTCTACATAAGAAGAACCAAAAGTATGCAGAATTTTTATATACTTTCCTGACTTATATTCTTCTTCTCTGATTAATCAACAAATATTTTCAGTAACCTGATTTTAGCTACATTTTAAGTTGTAGATGTGAGACTGCCAACAGTTTTAATTTAGGAAGTTAACAAAAAAGATCAAGTTCTTATACACACTACTGGTTGGCTAACTGGTTGGGGAAAAAAGTAGAGGAGGTGGTTGGCTGGTCTGCAGGCACGCATGAGGAGCTGAGGAGTAGAAATGGCATTAACTAACAGTGTGAATGTTCTTTATACTTAGCCATTTCACGTCCATTATCTAATGGGGTTCTCTTCATTCTTTGAGGAGGCTATTCCTCTTGTATTTATGAGGAAACCAGTGCCCAATTGCTAAGCAGATGGCACAAAGCAGCTAGTAGTTATCAGAATGTAGAAGAGTTTGTGCCTCATAGCATTATTATTTACTGGGTACACCATTGTTTAATCTCTAGGGGCCGTTTCTTATTAGTTCCAATTTATTAGTTCTAATTTATTTCTGTTTGAAAATTAGGCCATTTCAGTCCCATCAGTTCAACTGAAAAACCAGGTAATAAGGAAAAGTTATTTATTTACCGAGAGAGAGCATATTACCAGGGCCTCTAGGAACTTGCATCTGGAAAATGTAAATAGTGTGTTTAAACCAACATACTCTGAAACACAATAGGATTTTGAAATTTCTTCCTTTACAGTTGAAGAAACTAAACCCCGACATTGAAAATTCCTCACTTGAGCTACTATACATAATTTCATGCTGGTCCCCTGGCTGTGCTGCAAGGGAATGGCTCCAGGGCAGGGAATGGCTTCCTTATGCCTGCTGCTGTCCCCAAGACTTATGCCTGGCCAGGGACTGAGTGAGTACACATGAAGTGCATCTTGACCTCATTCTTCCACAGTTTCTACTGTGTGGCAGACACTGTTCTAGGGATCAGGGAACAAAACAGACAAAACTATTACTTCTTCCACAGTCAAAATGTATAGTGATTTATTTGCTTTCCAGGAGCTGGGTCTCTACCTGGAATATTTGTCAGGAGTAATGTTAAACATGTCTCTGCTTCTCAGTTAGTTCTTCTATAGTTTTACTGTTAAATAGGTACGTGATTTCTAATGGCTGAAAAGTTATGTCCCTTCTGCCACTGTTAATCTTGACTATATAAATATAGACTTCACGTTGAGTTCTTTCAATTGTAGGGAACTAAGCAAAGACACAGAGTGTTGAAATTGTATAAAATGCTGGGAGCTGGTGAATGACCATGGCCAGAGTGTGGGGCTTGTGTAAATATTCACTGGAAATGAGGTCAGAGAGTTGGCTTGAGATCACACAGAGGGCCTCGGAAAGCCTTGTAGCTTTTGGGTTTTTGAGGAAGAAAACAAATTGTATTTAGGAAGGTTATGATGGCCATTATAAGATGGGTCAAGATAAATTAAGCGGCTCTACTATGAAATAACAGACCTGGATAGCAAGGCAGTAGAATGACAGGAGGGAAAATATATTCCAAACAGAGAAACAACAGAACTTGGCGGTCGATGGAGTGGAGAGAATTCTTGAAGGTGATAGAGAAATACCTGGGAGGTTGTGGGTGAAATTATTACAGTGCAAGACAGTGAAGATACTTTTAATTGATGGGTGTGAGTATACAGTGAATACATTTGGGACATTTTGTACCAGTTATCTAAGACAGCATGTCATTTTTATCAATAATTATATTAAGTTCAGCTCAACACATCTTTTAGTGTTCCTGTCACTTTGCTGAGATTATACAAAGATAGGTAAACAAATCTTGCAATGAGCAGCTTACAGCATGGTGACAGAAGTAAACACAGACCAAATCATAATAAGAAGTTAGCTGTGGTATTTCATAAGTGGGATACAGAAGCCATCAAGACCTGAGTAATGGAAATATCACAGTCCTGAGGTTGTAAGCTGTACTGGTTAGAATAGGATCCCATAAGAAATCAAGTTTTTACAGTATTTTTTCCAAAAAAATCTACAGAAATAGTCATATTCAGAAATATCTAGTAAAAATTGAGTATACACCCAAGTATAGTGGATTTATTATGAAAATTTCAGTGAAGTCCTTCCGAGGGGATGACACAACATGTGTAAGTTAAACTTCATGCATAGAAACAGATAAGAAAGAGAAATGGGCAAAAAGATGGGTATTTTTCAACTTCCTGTAAACTGTAATTATAGATGAGCTGTGCACACTCTTATAGTCCTTCTACTTCAGCCTCCCAGAGTGCTGAGATTACAGGCATTCATCACCCCACCCTGTTTCTGGAAGTCTCTTGACTCTACTCTTGAATATTTTGCTAGAAATACTAGAGCCTCAGCATTCAGTAGACTGGTCAGCTCTCAGGCCATGTGGCTAATGAATGACTTCTTTAAAACACTGTTGGTGGACCTTGTAAGCACTTGGACAAACCTCTTCGAAACTCGTAGAGTTTTTCAGTACGACTTTTCTGAGTTTGATAAAAACAAATTAGCGTTTTCTTCCAAACCATCATTAGAGAATTCTTCCAGTAAGTGTAAGAGATAGCCAGCTCATATTGAAAGTGTCTCAGGAAGCTCATGACTCATATGGTTGAGTCTCACAGCATATTTTTAAATTTTTTCTTAAACACTTTGACCATTGCCTCAAAGATAGCAAACACTTCAGTTTGAGAATCAAGTCTCATGTCAATTCCTGTGCTTTCTACCAGGAAAAGAAGTTTCTATGTGCCTTCTCTTCCTGTCTTGTCCTTGTCCTCGTCATCATCGTCATCAGCCTCCTACTCCTGCTCCTTCCTCCCTCCCTTCCTTCCTTCCTTCCCTCTTTCTCTCTCTCTCTCTCTGTCTCTCTCTCTCTCTCTCTCTCTCTCTTTCTTTCTTTCTTTCTTTCTTTCTTTCTTTCTTTCTTTCTTTCTTTCTTTTTCCCTTCTCTTTGCATAATACCAGGTTATTTTCTTCTTGCAGCTGGACAATCCTTTTTTCTTATCTCCAGAATCAGAAGTTAGAAATATTGTTTATGGTTTGATTGGCTTTTCTTCATGCTAGATAATACATTTTGTTTTTTTATTATAATTG